GAAATTATTAGTATAAGAAGAAATTGTTACATCCTACCAGTCATAATTAATAAATGAACTATGAGATAGCTACCTGCCCAAAAGGGAGGGACACCGCTTAAAAGTATGTATAAAATAACTCCAGCACTCCATATGTCTGCTTCAGGTCCATAATGCTTGCGTAACACCTCTGGTGCAACATAGTATGGACTCCCAACAACTTCAGAAAAGTGTTCACCTAAACGGACATGGGAAAGAACCGAAAACTCATGTCAGATAGAGATGGAAGCTGCTATTATAGAAGAATGCAGTGTAACAATATCTGTTTCAAATTAAAATAAAAATTAACAGGTTTAATAAGCCAAGAATCTGAGTTAAGAGTAAAAGTAACAAAAATTCCAAGTATCAAACAAAACATTGCTAAATCATATGAAAATATCCATTCCTATTAACTTAGATATATTCTTATTCACCCTATCAAACTTCAATACCTACCACACTAAGGGACAAATTTACAACATATCTGGCCCCTGTGACTGATAATGCAGTTTCTTTCTAGTATTTTATATTAAATACGACGATCATCCCTCCATAGAACCCACCAACATTCTCTATCAGTGGTAGTGGCACCTAATTTACCTTGCTTCACCCACCAGACAAATGTTAAAATCGAATAACAAGATGTATGCAGACAAATGCTACTCAAGTTTTCTGCGTTGGAAACCAATCTAGAAGGAAAATAAACTTGAAACCACAATTTTCCCGTTTTCCCGTGTTCCCCACCCAGCCTCCTCATCTCCCCTTGGTCACATGGTGGGTCCAATGAGTGCAAATTTCGTTGTATCAAGATGAAAATACATCACAATGTTCTATAGTAGCAAACCAGCACAAAATCGGCAAAAGATCAAATTCCTCCATGAGAAGTAGTACCCTTCTGGATAAAGTAGGGACAGTGACAACTAAAAAAAGTTGCATTTTGCAAAAATTATGTAAAATGTTTTGCCCCCCTCTTTGATAGCATGATCCAGTCTTAATCTGTTCTTACCCTCAACTACAAGATTAGTGCAGTAACTCACCTAAGTCATACTTCTTAAAGTGAAGAATCAAGCAAGGTAAGAAAAAAAGACAAGAAAGATTGAATAACTCTCTTAATTAAACCAAGGATGGTGGAGATGGCGTCAATTGCAACAACAAATGATCATCTAAATAAATGTGTTGGTAATTGGTAGAAGGGACCTATTAACTAAACTGTAAACCAACAATGTCTTATCTGATCTTTGTCAAAGACCCAAAAAAAAAAAAAAAACCGATTTCTAAGGCAATAAAAACGGATCAATAGATACTCGTGACGAATTATTAAGAAACAGTAATGGAAGTACATGGAAGAAAGATGAATCTGTAAGAAGGGAATAGACCTGGCTTGTAGAAGACAGACAGGCCAAAATCAGTAGCCTTAAGAGCAGCATCTTCATCAACACTATGAAACAAGAAGTTCTCTGGCTTAAGATCTCTGTGAATAACCCCAAGAGAATGACAACCCTCGGCAACCCCAACAATGGTCTTGATCAACTTAGCAGCTTCTCTCTCGCTATAATGACCTTTCTGAACAATCCTATCAAAAAGCTCACCTCCCTCGCAGAGCTCCATGACCAAATGAACGCAGTGATCGTCCTCGTAGGTGTCCTTGATTCTGACAACATGTTGGTGCTCGGACAAGTGATGCATTATCTGGATTTCTCTCCAGACATCGTCGTAGTCCTCTTGGCAGATTAGCTTGCGCTTGGGGATAGATTTGCAGGCGTAGTTTTCGGCAGTTTGCTTGTGGGTACAGAGATAAGTAGTACCAAATTGGCCTTGGCCTAGCTTCCTGCCTATGGTGTAATGGTCCTTGAGATTCTGGGTTATGTAGGGAAGAACCCTTGTGGGTTTTGATGATGGGGGTGGTGGTGGTGGAGCTTTTGATTTACTCATGCTCACCTGGTTTTCTTCTTCTTCTTGTTCTTCTTCTTCTGGTTTGGAGAACTAAACTCAGCGTCAAAACATTGAAGAAGACTGGTCTGGAGAGAAGAAGAAGAGAAGGATTAATACGACTTTGACCTCTTCCTTCTTCAGTCTTTTATGGTAAGGTAGCTGTACATTCCATAATTACAGAACTCTCTCTCTCTCTCTCTCTCTCTCTCTCTAAAAAAAACTTGTTTTTCTTTCATTTAATTAAAAGAAAAGAAAAGAAAAAAAAGAAAAAACTTTCACATTTCTGTGTCTTTAATCTGGGATTTTCCTTTTAAAGTTAAAAAATTTCATGAAAAAGAAAAATGGGTTAGCTTTTTTAGAGATTATTATTGTGTGGAATTGGATTGGATTTTCTATGGGCTGTCTTCACTGGTTTCATGATCTCTAATTATTAAATTACTTGAAATGAATTGGGAGGTTATTGATGGGTGGAGATGGCGTTAAAAGGACTGGGGAATCTGCAGTGGCAGATTTGTCCACTTCTGCCTCCCCACATCTCTAATTTATGACTTTTTAAATAATTTCAAGGATTGTTTTCAGATTCATTGGCTTTTCCTTCATTTTTATTTTCCGATTTTACCACTTTTTATTTAGCTATAGCAAAAGATTTTTCAATTTTGTTCATAAAAATTATATTTAAATGCATTAGAGTTGTAAAAATGATGATTTAACTCATTGCGAGAAGCTTCTCGAGAGAGAGAGAGAAACAGAGAGAAGTAAAAAGAATTGTGTTCAATAAGTTTTGGAAACATGATGATTTATTTTATTAAATTCCAAGTACTTACAGAATTGAAACATCAACTATGTAAAACTACATATTCTAACAAAATGTAAAATATTAATCTCAAAGTGGATGAACAACACATGATTTATAAAGTATTTATAATGGCATGTCAATATTGTGTTTGACTAATGAATTAAAGAATAAAACATAAAAATTAAAAAAAAAAACATATAAAAAAAAAATTCCACTTAAAAAAACAAATATTAATATGTAAAACTAAGCATACTCTTAAAAGTTGTTTATTTGCAATTTAATCTCTTCCTTTTCCTTCTTGAAATTCTTAATGAGTTTTTTTTAGATCAATTCAAAGTAAATTCTTTTCATTTTATAAATTAATAAAATAATAATAATTCCTTTCTAAAAAAAGTTCATAATCATCATTTCAATTTATTGTTTTTAAAAAATAATAAATACATGTAATTACAAATATTTATTAAATATAAATATGGGATATGTAATTCATTATTGTTAGTCGATTTTTATTTCTAAAAGTTCAATGTTTTAATTACACTGATGACTATTACTTCATATCAAAAATTTTAATATGCCAGAATTGCAAATATCTAATTAATTTACATACTACGGCGAATGTTATCATTTAATTTATGTTAATACAATTTTTCAGTTGGCAGGGCGAGAAAGACCATCATTGAATCTGCTAAAATCTACATAAAAGAACTTTGGACAACTTTAGTTTAATTAACAGTGAATTTCTAGGAGAATGAGAACGAGGTGTGACCAGAACAAGTGTTGGAAGGGGTGGAAATGGTGCAAGCACAGGTCACTGGCATTCTCAATTCTACTGGGTTTCTCATGGTAGGGCTTATATTAAGGTTACACTTTGTTTTGAAGTTATGTTCAAGAAATTGACATGACATGCTTTTTGTGATATCTAAACAAAAAGTATCATTAACTGTTTAAACAAAAAAAACATTTGAAGAAATCACTTTTTTCTTCTTATAGAAATTACAAGACTAAAAGATATCTAAACGAAAATTGTTTGAAATATAAAATCATAGAATTTCAACTTAAAAAGAAATTCTTAGCTTACCTCTCAAAAAATTAATGCATAAAGTTGAAAACTTACGATACTAGCAACTTGAGCACTTTAGAATGAAGAACTTAAAAAGCCAACACCCTACAACTCAATCTAAAACACACAACACATGCACACAGCTTAAAACAGAATTCAAATTTTCCCCTCATGGTTCTCTCAATTTAATGAAGAGATTGCCTTGATCCAAAACAATTTCTTTTTTCCAGATTTGGATATACATATGGGCATGGTCTTTAGATTCTCCGAGTGATAAGGACAAAGAAATACTATTTCAAGAATGTAAGTTCTAAAAATCTGGTTATCAACCACAGATATTCTATGAGCGTATACATAAAAAAGTAGAATTGTGTGAAATAGAAAACCTGATCAAACAATCGAAAGCAATAAAATTAATACAGCTATTATAAAACTTATATATATATATAAACCTTAAGTAGATAAACTGGTCACTAATACATCTGCTGCCCCCCACCTCTAAATTAAAAAGCTAAAAAGCAAGCATACGCTGGTAACTAATGTTGGATATAAGTTAATCATATAAGATATTCAGCTAATCCTTTTTAAGGTTAGAAATAATCCTACTCATTTTTATCACTTAATCTATTGGGTTTGGGTAAAACTAAGCTCCAGCTTCTAGGACCTATACAAGATAAAGACCCTAAAACTCTACTGTCTAAAGGTAGCTACAGCTATCCATAATACAAACAAATCAATAACATCCTATCCTATTGTTTCCAACTATTTAGACGTAAGTTAGTCTATTGCCTTGATGCCTGCAGCGCAGTAACAGCATTGGAGATCTCCATTAGCCGCTCTTCTGTTTTAGCCTTCCACTTCGCAAACTCCTTGAACATCTCCTGAGAAAAGGACAATTTGAAATGTGGCTTCATTGAGATGAAATGCTAAGTAGGGAAAGGACATATGGAACAGGAGTAATTACACATTCATCTAAATCATTTATTGAATAAAAGAGCATATATCACCACTGAAATATTAAACTGGATTGTCAATATCAAACTTTGGATTGGCAGTTACAGAAGAATCCGGGGTCATGTTAGCTATATCGTCATCTGCCTCCTGGGAACTAGCTCTTGTACATCTCTGTTTATGCAACAAGAAAGCAGACAACTAAGAGAATTACAAAAGAAGAAATAATTTTAGTGACTTGTCTCTATTACCTCTTTATTTTAGCCATTTCTTCCTTGAGCAGTTCCAGCTCTCTTGCACAGATAAGATCCCGAGAAGGGCTACAGCTAGGCTTTAATATAGGTTGTGGAACCAAGTATGGTTCTTGTACAACTGTCTCCTGCCCAACATTAACCAAATCAGCACTTTCTAGCCATGGTGCAAAACCCTCCTGAAGACCATCAAGATTGGTGCTCTCCAACCAATCTTCCCATCTCTCTGAACTTGGACAGAAAGTAGTAGTCCATTGCTTTGATGCCTGCATACTGTTCAATGAATTTGAAATTCCCAACAGCTGGTGCTCGGTTTTAGCTTTCCATGTGACCAAGTCCTTGTACATGTCCTACCCCAAAAGAAACATAAGATGTAGCCTCATTAATACTCTGGTGAATATGTTTTTTAATAGAAACTCTGGTGAACATGTTTATAAGCACCTTATTGGTCTTGCAATATATAAACACTTCAAAACAAGAAATTGCATATTCTTTTGGTTTCTACGTTTCTGGAAGCTTAAAGGCAAAGGAAAATATTTCTTTGATACCTGCATACTGCTCAAAGAACTTGAGATCTCTGCCAGGCCTTGATCAGTCTTAGCTTTCCATCTTACAAATTCCTTGTGCATCTCCTGTGAAAGGACACAGAGGTGATTCTTCACCAAGGAAATTGATCAAGTTATGTGTATTAGGCATATTCTTATATATTCACCTCAATTGTACAAGAAACTTCTTGCTCCTTCTGCTTGGATAATACTTCTTGCATATCACTGTTTAAGAGACAAAAGGTTGAAGGGTATCCTTTGATCAGTGAAAAATGTATCACTTCTATATGAATTTTCTAGTTTTATTACCTCCTCAGTTTGGCCATTTCTTCCTTAAGCAGCTTCAATTCTCCAGATTCCTGAGGGGCATCCCCAAGCTTCCACCAAGAGGGTGGAACCCAGCTACGATCTGGAACACCAGCCTCCCGCTTGATGTTAACAAGGTCCGCACTCTCCAGCCAATACTCCATCACCCCATTGGTGTTATAACACCGCCGAAACCTCTCAGCACCACCGGGTGCCACTTTACCATCAATGTGCTTTAGTAAGTGGTCTAATAGTCCAGTATCGCCAATTCGTTTGCGAGCTGCTGATCTCAGTATTGGCCTAGAAATTGGTTTCTCAAACACAGCTCCTTCAGCCTTCATCACTTCTAACATGTGTTGCTCGGCCAACTTATACCTTCAAAACATGTAATCAGTATAAAACAATATTTGCATGTTAAAAAGACGAATTAAATGAACAAGATAAATAGTATCTACCTCTCAACAGACCATCGATCAACAGAGTTCCGTTGCTTGTGTTGCTTGCACTTCTGAAAACCACTACTTTGCCTTTGTTTTGTATGTCTTGGAATTCTTATCTCTCTAAGTTGGCCCAAAGGTCGTTTTCTTTTCTCAGTTCCACTGGCCACCAGAGACTCCACCACTGTCACAGATTCTCCACCATCTCTTTCATCTCCTCCCTCAATGACATTGGATGACATTTGAGGTGTGTTATCCTCTTTTTGATCGCCAAATATAACCTGGCGGCAATTCCCCCACCGTGCCATCCCAGTGCGATTTAGCTCAAACCAACAAAGCCCTTTCTTAGATGTTTCATCCAGCCTCTCAGAACTATTATATTCTTCTGAAGCACCAACAAAAAAAGATAACATTTAGAAACCTGAATGATGCAACAATTTCCGTTTATCAACAACTTAAAAACTTTGAAAAAAACCTTTTCATAAATTTTTGAAAAAGAAACAAAACATCTTCTGTATGTATGGGTTTCTATCACAACTGTTCAAGATCCACCAAGGTTATTGGCAATACATACTCCATAATTCTATGTACTAGTTTCTCTTAAATTCTTATGCCAAACAAGAGTGAAAGTACCAATATGTGTACCATTTCCATGCAATTCTCGCACCCATTATCAGAATAAAACCTTCTCAAACTTTTAAATATGCTGGAATTCTGCTAACCAGTGTAACTTTCTAGCATTTCTGCCATCAGCAAAAGCTACTAAACAATTGGACTTATCGAAAATATATCATACTAGCATTCAGATGTCCAGAACTGGAATATACTATCATTTAATTTATCATTTAAGAAAGCTTCTGAAGTCCATATCCAACTTCAGGTTTTTGAAGTCCTTTTCTCGAGTAGAGGCTTTTCTTCTGTACAATAGAAAATTTAAATTCCTTGTTTATCAAAATTAATTTCCAAAGATCAAAACCATCAACTAATGTTAATAGGAGGTAACAAGAGGAAAGGGTTTGCCAATTCATTCCCAGAAGAGATAGAGAATGTACATTTACAAGATATAAATCCTAAGCAACTTCCCTACATAGAAAACATATTAGGTATGCAAAGAAAATGAAGAAAGATACAAAATGATGATTGAATCCCTGCATCAACAGTAAAAAAAGATTGATGTGTTTTTTCCACCAAGGAAAAATACTTGTGTATAAGAATCAAATAAATCTTACAAAACATTGTCTGTATAAACCTGATCCCATAACATCTGAATTTGTTTTATTGGCCTCTCTGATAGTCCAAGGTGAAATCCTACAATTCAATGTAAAATAAAATAAGTAATTCTAGTTCCTAAAGAAGATTTAACACATATTAACCATCAACAATTAACTATGTTTTTGGAAATTAAAAGGAAAGCTTCATTACGAATTTGGGATAGTTCAAACTTTGTAAGTAGAGAATCTTAATGAGATTACCTAGAGAAAACAATGAAAAGGTTCAAAATTGATAAGTTCCAGATTGCCTCTCAATATCAAAACATGCAACGTGAATCACCACCATTTATACTTGCTGGCATCACCAGACTTGTGGTAGAGTGACCTACTTTCAACATTATAAAAAAAGATATTAAAAGAAAAAACCTGTGATGCAAACTGTAAAATTCTGCTGCTTTTATCACCATTAAAAAGAAGAATTGGTTCCATGTGTTCAAACAAGTTCAAATCCACTTTTCCAATATCTCAGTTGTTGCAAGCAATAACTAAGAGATTTAGAAATAAAAATAGAAAGAACTCCGCATTGGATCCAACTAAGCACACCAATATTTTCCTGGAATAAAAAGAATGAAGAGAGGCCAAGAAATCAGAAGTTAAAGTTGGAGAAAACAGTTCAGAATAATTTTTTTTGTGAATATTATGATTAAGCAGCACAAGAGAAAAACTTATTAATGTCTCCATCATCAAAAATTAAAGATTAGAGGTAAAAGCATAAGATTTCACATTGCTTTCAAAAGGACAGCAAGCTAAAAAAGGCTTACAATCTTGATTCTTATCCACCATATTTAACTCTCCAAAAGAAAAAAGGTTTTTAAACACAATTTCTCGGTCAAGCTTCAGTCTTTCACTGAAGCAACTTCAGAATTGAATATATTGAACCAAAACAGCCCCAAAAACCTAAAAGGGTCTGCAAGGATACCCTCATAAATTTATACAAGATTTAGTGACTTTGCACTTCTTTCTCTTTCTAATTTGACAAAAATATCTACATGTCTCTAATATATGAAAAATGACCTACCAATCCCGTTTACAAGTAAGTTATACAAACAAGATAGGGTTGTAATTTTTTACAATATAATGTGCTTTTGTTTTATTACTACTTCTTTGAGTTGCTTGTATTCTTTGTTGATATAGCACTATGCAAATTAGGATTCCACCGACTTCCATGCTCCAAAACAAACATTAAAAATTTTGCTGCATGTCAAATTATGCATATTTCAAGATTACATTTCATAAACCGCATACATAGACCAAGCAGATAAGCTGATATAAATGAAGGACAAGGAGAATTATACAACCAAGACACTGCAAAAAATTACTGATTACAAGATCTTACTTGCAACTCCTTGCCTTATTTGTTTCTAACAAATGCAGGAAAAAGAACACTAGTAAAAATTCCCATCATGCAGAGTCAATCAGCATCACACAATAATCCCATAAAAGGACACAAGCCCTTGAACCGTACAACCAGTTCCCCTAATTATTTTTCCCCTAGTATCCTGAACCTTCATGAACCAAACAGAGAGAATGACCACAATATAACCAAAACACCTACTCTCGAAGCAACTCCCCTTCATGTTTCCCACATGAAATGCCATATCAAGCAAAAACGAGAAGCAACAAAAAGATCAGAAAACAGAATGACGGAATAACGAAGCAAAGAAGTCGGGGTTTTAGCTCAACAGGCGACCATTGCATCTTCCACATTCAAATCCAAAAAAAAAAAAAAGTAAATGCCCAAAATACTATGGAAGACATAAAACATAAATGCATAAACATGTCATAAGAGAAAAAGAAAGAAACATAGAAAAAGAGCGAGAAACAGAGGTCACACCTGATAGGGTTTAGTGATCAGCAAGACAGAAGAGTGAGTTTGAGATTTTAGCGAATAGAAAGGGGAAAAAAGGAGAGGAATGGCGGAAAGAGAGAAGACCAGAGGCCAGAATTGTAAAGTATTATTCTGCCCCGAAACAAGCCTTGGTACTAAAACCCTAACCGCCAAAATCCCTAAAACCCCTCCATTAAAATAAAGTTTAAATTTTCCATAGTGAGTATTTTAAACATCTTGCTACTGGTTTCAAATGACCCATACATTCGACGCCACGTCCATGCAATCTTTATCGTTAGTCAATGGTCAACTTCTATTATTTCTTTTTTTGGGGGGTGTGGCTAGTTCTGGTCAACTTTTGTAGTGGTAACACATTAATTCTTAGATATTATAATAAATAAATAACAATAAGATCTCATGTTGTTACCATAAAAAAGAATGTAATTATTACTTGAATTGCTTTATGATATTTAAGGTCTTGTCCTTTGTGTTTTTAAGAATGTTGGATCAAAATTTTCAATGATAATATTAAATTAAAAAATTAATACCATTACATACATTCATCAAATTCAATAACTTGGTAATTTATTTTTATTTATTTATTATTAATTCATAATTTCTTGTAAATAATTATGAAAAGTTTTGAAGCGATTATGATTTCAATTTATAACAGGTTATTAATACAACTCTAATAATTACTTTTGCCATTTATTTTAATTATTATACCAGTGGCTTATGGGCTTTTTATATTTTGAAAAATCAAATCTTTACTTCTAACCAAGTCGTGCATGGGTCAATGAAGATTCCAAATTTGATCATCACGTAATAACTAATCCTACAAGCCAATAATTAATTTTCTTTTAAGAAAAAAAAAAAAAAAAAAATTACAATTGATACACATTTACATTGCTGTCAATTCAAAGATGGCTATCAGTCTTTCGGCATATCACAATGAAATCTTAAAACTCTCTACAGCCACGGAAATGAGATAAGACATCAACCTCTAAATTCTAGAATTTGACAATCTTGTTGAAGAACACCCATTTGAATCTCAGCCAAAAATAGATACAAAAACACACCCCACAAAACTAGACCATCTTCCCAAAGAAGAGAAAAAGCTAGACACCGCCTCCAGAGGTGCCTGAAGACTCGGCAACATCCTCTAGTCTCAATGTTATAGCTCCTTCTTCAATCATTTTACCCCTATCTGTTGAACCATCAACAGCTCTATTCAGCCTCTTCAACCAAATATCATAATCAACAGGGTAAGGGGTTCCACAAAGGCTATCTACATAATCAGCAAATGCCTTCAACAATGCTGAAACCTCACCAAGTTGCTGTTGAATCAAACGTTTTGTCCAGGTTCTTTCCCTCCACTGCAATGCGGATTCAATTGAATCCTGTTGCTGCATGGTTCCCCCGCAAATAAAATAAAGAAGATAAACAAGGCTTTCCGCATCTGATGCAGGACACAGTTTTCCATGCTGGAGTGCATAAGAGGACGAGAATTGCAGATTTATTGCTGGGCTATCTCTGTCTTCTATAACAGCATGTCCCCATGATATTGGGACATAACAAAACCTGTTTCTACTACCATTCCTGTCCACAACACGTATTATGTTTTCTGGACAAATATCACCGTGTTGGACATTGGCTGTTGCTGCACTTCTCAGTGCAGCTAAGCAGTCCCGACAACACTGCAGTGCCTCCTCGGAGGAGAATGGTCCATCCCTGGCAACTACAAATGAAAGTGGCTCCCCAATTGGACATGTTACAAGTATTGGAGTTCCACACCATGGATGATCACATCGACCCCCTGGACTCTGCTTGTTACAGGGACCAGAATGCGAAATCCTTCCGGAAGCAATAATTTCCGGCAGATATTTGCTTGAAATTCCTTGTTGCTTTAGGATGTTTAACACTTTTGTTTGCCTCTGGACTTGATACCATAAACTCATATCCTCCCAAGATGGTTCCAGTCTTGATGGATGAGCACCCACATACAAAGTTAACAATTCTGTTGGATTATCTAGAGACACAGCACTGTACAGAAAGTAGTTCCCTCCTACTAACGATTCTTGTATCTGGAAACTTTTCTGCCCTTGCCTTTGATCCTCCAACAGCAATGTTTCTCCCTGCTTAAGCTTCAAACGTGAGGCTTGCTTTCTGAAGGATTGATTATCCCCCGCATCAAGTTCGACGATCTCTCCATGTTGATGGTTAGGTTGTTGAAAGGGGACCAATGCATTTTCGTTCTCATTTTGGCGGGACTCCATTCTGCGCTTCTGTAAACGAAGGCTATGATCTGAGGCCAATGATTCTATTGACTTTCTTGGTGGTCCATTCCACTGGACAATAGAATAGAAAGTTGCTAAAAGTACCTGCAGAGTCCCCAGGTCCCCCCAGTTTGCATTTCCCAGTTTATTCCATATGCAGTCCACTGCAGAAACACTGACCTCCGCATGACATTTTATCCATTCTGCCACCGATAAGTATGGATTATGCGAGTTCAATTCAAGTTTACCAAGGTCACCTCCAAGTTTCACGACCCCACCAAATTTAGAATCAAGAACCAAAACAAAAACAGAATCCCCTCCAACAGTACTTGACTTGCTTATACTTCTAGAAACTAGTATATGAAAACCATAAAAAAGAGCTTCACAGATAATGATCGGAGATAGTTTCATTTCATTTTCTGATAATATACATGGTTTAAATAACGCAAACTCCATCACCTGATCCCAATGAACATGCAGATCACTCCCTGTTTTTGATATCAAAGCTAAACCACAGAGCTCTTCAATCCTTCCCTTTGATATTGCTTTCTCTAGGCTATAAAACTTGGACCCAGGATGGCGGCCACAAGACAAATAGAATGGCAATGGCCCACTCTTACGCCAAAAGGTACGCCACAGACCATTGACAACAGCATGAAGGAAGTCTTCTAGAGCAAAAAATTCATCTTCCCTCAGATCATTGGAAGC